CTGCCCGCCTCGGGCCCTGTGGCCTCAGGTTTCCCCGGCAGGGACCCCTCACTTGGCCTCGGCTGAGGCACCAGGTCTGTCCCAGGCAGCTGGACTTCAGCTGAGACTGCTGGCCCGTCCCTCAGCAGGGCTGGGGGACAGTTCTTCACCCTGCAATGGCCCTCCCACCAGACAACGGCCGCAGAACGGGGGGAGTGCGGTGTGGGGAGTCAGCTGCCATGGGGGCAGCGGGCTGGCTGGAATGCCCAGCTGGGAGCCGGCTCCTCTCTCCCACCAGCGCAGGGAGCCGGCTCCATTCTCCAAACAACCCGGGGGCCGAGGGTCCACAGGTGCCCAGACCAGACCTGCCCGACCTGCTGCCTCCGCTCCTCGGACTGGGACTGGCCAGGACCCCGCGTGCAGCTCACAGCATCCTTTCCCCCACAGCTGCCCTGACCTCACCCTGAGCCCTGCTCCCTCCCCTCACCGGTCAGAACCGGGGGCTGGGGGCGGGGCCGACACCAGATGCAGGATGGGAACCGGCCCACTGCGCAGGACCAGCTTCTGAACACAAGCTTGGCGCTGACAGTCACAGCTGCTCAGCTAAAGACCTGCCGCTTTCAGAGGCATCTGGGATCCGGCTCCAGGTCTGCACGCAGCCGTGCAGGGAGTGCCGCTGCACGCTGAGGAGCGGAAGGGAGGTCACCAGCACGGCCCCGCGGGCCTCCCGGTCCACTCACCGTCTCAAAGTCGGAGTCGAAGGTAATCGCCGACAGACTGTCATCTCCCTGCAGGAGAGACGCACACATGGGACTTCCAGGCACCGGCCTGGCCCCCGGTCACACTCACACACTCACAAGGCCGCGCTGAGGCAGGAACCCCAACCCCGCCCCGGGGAGCTGCCAGCAGGCTGCTTGGCCGAGTCAGGAGGGATGGCGCGGACACAAAGCAAAAACGCCTCCACCCCTCAACCCAGCAGGTGTGTCCCGAGTCGCTGGGGACTTTCGATCAAGAACCAGTCCCTGTGGAAAGTGCCTTTCATGGCCGAGTGTTTAAGCGATCTCTCTCTCATCTTCCATCGGAGCACCAGGAACCGTGACCTCTCCCGGTGAGAGCACGTCAAAGTCCCGTGAAAACCACGCGTCCCTGCGGCAGGTGGGCTGGTGAAGGCCCTGCTTCCCGGTCCAGGGCCCGCCTGGCCAGCGAGTGAGGTCCGGGCCGGCTGATGGGGTCCAGGTCCCCGGTCCCTGCCGCACGGCGGCCACAGCCTCCATGCCACACCCCCGTGCCCATGCAAACCGGGCTGGTCTAGGGCCTCTAACAGCCTCTGACCAACCGGAGCTTCTGCTGAGCCGAGAGGGACCCCTGGCAGGTGAGGCTGAAAGCCCGAAACCCTGTCCCCGCTTGGCTCTGGAATCACTGGTGGTCACGCCGGGCTCCATGG